AGAGAGAGAGAGAGAGAGAGAGAGAGAGAGAGAGAGAGAGAGAGAGAGAGAGAGAGTTTCGAAAATGATCTTGACTCCCGTTTGCATTTTCGTTAGTGTTGGAAGATTGTAGAGGGACTGGCGGGCCGAACCAGAGCCCATTGTATTCTTTTTGCTTTTGTTTTGGTGGCACGACAAACGATAGAAAGTCCGCGACGAGTGAGGTTCTTTGGACTGGATGGATGGCCTCAATACGAGTCAATAGACACAGGCCTGCTCCTTAGCTGTCCTCGGCCTTCCTGACTAAAAGTAGAGATGTAGAGATTTTTATAGCTCTAATAATTATTTGACTCCGAACCAATAAAGAGTTGCGAAAGAGTGTTGATGTCCATTCCATGTCATTTCCCAGCGCAATTAGCAGATGCTTTTTTTTTTTTTTTTTTTTTTTTTTTTTTTTTTTTGGGTGAAACTTGAAACACCACCCAAGTGAGGTCTACTATTAGTGATAGGAGCAGCATCCCCCGCTACTAATAGGACAGCGAATGCCTTTTCCGCCTCAGCACGGTTTCGGTCTGTTTTCTCGTCTGTTTTCGTTGTCTATTTCATCATTCATCCAACTTCTGAGTCCTTGGACAGGTAACTTGCCCTGATAATGAGGTTGATTGCCATGTTATGTGTCTAATTGTCAAATTGTCCAATTGTCTAATTGTCAATTTGTCAATTTTTAAAGGGGGGTTCCAACTTCCGAGCGAGGGGTGTGATTCAAGAAAGCGAGAAAGCGAGGGATGTGAAATAAGAAAGCGCTTTGCCTTCCCCTCTCACTTCTACAGTGTTTGCCACTCACCTATGTGTACTTTTTAGTTTTATGTGTACTTTTTTTTTTTTTTCTTAACGTAAAAAAAAAAAAAAAAAAAAAAAAAAAAAAAAAGATCAGTTGCAGCAGTGTTACTACCATAGTACCATACGTTGCCCCATTTTCGGATTGGTGCGTATCATCATCCTTGAAAGTGCTAATCTATCTTCTCTCTATCGTCCCCATCTCAACTGATGCTTCCAAGTCTCGACCGCCACCACCACACTACATTTCCTTCAGGTGAATTTGGTTTCTTTAGTTTCCGTTTCTCCATATTTTAGACCGATGCTTGGTTTGGAAGGGGAGGGGGGGGGCGGAAGGAAAAAAAGCAAAAAAATAAGCCAAGGATTGTTTAATTTGTATAGGATTTTCCTTCACATTGGGTGGTCCTTGAGGTTGAGAGAACAGTGCGCACATTTCATCACAGCGGTGACACATCGTGAAGATTGTACTGCCGTGCAACTTGTTTAAAGCTATTTAAACTTATTTTCCAAATTTCCAATTTTCCCAGTTTCTTTCGACGGGGGGGGTTGTTAAACCGCCACCAGTACTTCGGAGCCACTTTTTCCCAGGGCTTCCGGGCGCCCTGCACGCCAAAAAAAAAAAAAAAAAAAAACCGAATTGACGCGGGCCTCATTTTGGGTGGTGCTGCCAGCCATTTCGCTCTGGCAGGCGAACCCCAAAAGTTGTGGCAGCATGCAAGCCTTGCAAGGTGCATTGTAGAAAAATTGCTGGGAAATGTCGTCGTGACTTAAGCACCTCACTTGGGACCTGGCTGGCTGCCCAGAGAAGGGCCCTGGACCTGGACGGCTTAGGTATGGAAGCTTTCTTTTTTTTTTTTTTTTTTTTTTTTTTTTTTTTTTTTTTTTTTTTCCCCTTGAGATACTGGGGCCATTACCCGGCTTCGGCTAAGAAAGACAACTGTGTTCAAGAGCACTAAAATTCTCTATCCCCCAAAGCTCGGATCAAAGGAGCATTCAGAACGAAAGAACCACCTGCTTAAGGTCCTTTCAGCAGCCCAGCCCAACCCTACCTGCCTCACCCTTATATCCCGATCCCCAATCTCTACCAGGCCTCGTGCCCCCAACTGCTAGGTTACAGAGTGGCACGACCCACCCCAGAAACCCCCCACCTGCTAGGCCACAGGGCAAAGCGAACTGCCCCGGCTCCGGCCCGCATCAACTAGGCACCAGCTCACCAAAAGACACTAGAGTGCCTTCCTCCCTCGACAACTCCCCAGATCTCTCTACCAGGTCTCATGCGCTCATACAGCTTGAGTTACAAGGCAGCGCAACCAAGCCCCAGCACCAACCAGCGTCGTTCTGGCCTCGTCTATTCGCAAGCCACCGGGACTCGGGACTAAGGCAAATACCAGTCAAGCCATCAATCAGCACCATAGCTGTAGATCCCATCGTTCATCTCCTTGACGCACTGGTTGCAGATATCCCCCCAAATATCGCTCTCAGCCCTACTCCGGCAAATCTTACCACCGTGAAGCCACCATCTCCACCGCTGCTGTGCCCTATTTCAACCCTACAGGCTAGCCCCTTCACCGCAGAGCGCGTCGTCTCCCACCGTCACCGCTGCTGTACCCTATTTCAACCCTACAGGAGACCATGCCTATCTTTACGTCCTGCATGTCAAGACGGGAGTCGGGGAAAAAAAAGGAAGAAAAAAAGGATGGGAGTCAATCCATGGCATCTGGTCTGATTGTCCTTCAGATCGCAATGTGAAGATGGAAGACATAGCTGTAGTGCACTCGGCCTTATTTATTTGTAACAATAATTCCAATGATCAATTTGCTTACAAAGTTGCAATTCTTTTTTTTTTGAGTAAATTTAATGCTCTTGTCTGAATAACGCACCGTGCAGTCAAAATTCTCATCTGATGATATGATGATCTTCTGCCACTCGCTGTCAAATTAATGACAATGTTCCAATTACTTAGTAATAAAAAGAGGGAAAAAGAAACAAAACAAAAAAAAAACTAGCTTTCCCAGGGCGCCTGGCCAGGCGCCCCGGGCACCTCGTCTGGGGTACCGGGCGCATGCAAAAAAAATCCACTTCTTTACTGTTTTCCCTGGCGCCCGGGCACCCATCTTATGCCCGGGCAGCTGCCCAGGTGCCTGGCCGGGCATGACCCCGCGGGCGGGGTTCCGGACAGCCCCAGCCTCAAAAAAAGAAAGTAATGATAAAAAAAAATCATGGGAAAAACAAAATGTTGTGTGGAATTGCAATACAAACGACTTTTGGCCGAGGGTCACATTAAAACTCCCCCCACCCACTAGCCTTAATGGAGGTCCTACAGGATGAGACCTGAGTATTGTCGGCTCAAGTGGACACCGGATCTCATTCCCAGTATGGTTCTTGCACTAAGTCCGTCAGTTTCAGACGGTCTGCGTAGATTCAGGCCCACACGCTTTGCTTCTTGCAACCCATCTCATGGTTTTTCCAAAGTTTGCATGGCAGTACTGCTTGGCGGGACGGGGAACAGAGGTGGATCACTGGTGCCCCCCAGTGACTGCACTGCGCGTGGACCCCAGACCAAGGGATTACATGAATAATAAATAAAACACACAAAAACACACTGTGATTGCTGTGCGCTTGCTGTGCAATTCTGTAATGTATATGAATTTTTTTTTTTTTTTTTTTTTTTTTGAGAAAACTGCCCATTTGGGAGCTAGGGGCGCTGGTATGAGCAGACGCCTCTATCTCCCCCGGGGAGGCTCCGTCTATTAGTGGGGAGCAACACCTGCTGGAAAACGGGTCCAGCGTCCCTTAACAAAGCCACTGATTTCCTTCTGAAGATTTCCTCATCATTCTGCCAGCATTGATTGCCCTGAGAACAGGGGATTAACTGCGCAGGAATATGAGTAACCAGAGAGGGGGGAAGAAGGGGCCTCTTCAGCCTTGCTGCTGGGCGCCCGAAATGCATGACGACCTAGCTCCCGTCCCCCCTGCATGACTATGTAGATTATGTACCCCCCACTCACTCTGCCCCTAAACCACTGAAGATCCACCAATAACAGACTACGGGGGCGGGGGGGTAGGACTTGCTGCTGTTTGAAGACTTCTTTTTTTTGGACAGGAGTGGGCTCTCAGCAGAAAACCGAGATGTGGGATATTCCTGCCCTCATGAATTGCCCTGTAATCGGGGGTGCTATCCTTCCCTCCCACCCCTACCCACTCTATTGACACTGCAAGCTTACTCATACCACCCCATACCATTGCATGTCTACCATGGTCTGCTGATTGGGGGGGAAAGGGGTCAGGAAAGTCCGAGGGAGGCCGCCGCGGAATTCTTGCATCCACCGTTGTCCAATCCCTGAAACAGATCTGATAATCTCTGTTGATCGTCCCTGAATTACCAACACCGATGCCTTCTTTGCCTTCCTGGGTGCAGCTGCCATCCCACCCGATGAAGGCGATCCGTCCTCCGTTCTCGCTGCCCAACCAGTCCCCCGAAAACTGTTGGTTTTTTTGTTTTATGTCTTTTGGTGTCTGGAACAGATCCAGCTGACTTTTAACTTTCTGCCATTGTGCCATAAGATCCTGGTGTACATATTGTTTGACCATATCCGTCATTTCCTCCCCGGCTATGGGGACCCCTTCCATGGCATGTATGCAGCGTCCCCTCCAGATGGCGCATAGGACGGCTC